GGTTTCAAAACAAATAAAAATTGAAGTGAGTATGAACTTGCTTGTTTTCTCTGAATATGAAACGTGGTTGAACTGATATGTGAGACGCATCTCAGCTGATGCATGATTTAGCATGATTGTTGAACACCATAAAATACCCACGGCTTTTACTGATATAAGCTGAAGAGTGTGTTTGTTGTTGAATAATAAGATTCATTAATAAGCGGAAAGAACACAAATGAATGTTTTCAGAATGTGATTTAAGTGGCGCGATACTCATTTACTTTCAGCCATCTAAATGTATCACATTTCTACTAGTGATGTATAGACAAATAATTCTGAGCAAAGTGACGTTGAACCTGACCTAGACTACTAGCTCGCTAGTTTTATAGCTGGTCCTAAAGCCGGACAAAGAGGGAGGGATGGGGTGTGGTGCTAGCAACCTTACCCCCAAAACTTAACCAAATCGCCACACAAACTTCAACGCACAGATACATTGAAAATTCTAAAATTATAAACAATAACCTGATATTTCGTTGGAATCGGGGAAGTGAAATGACACAGGCTGGTGAAAGCCTTCGGGAAGCCAGTCAGCCGATGTGCCTTCTTTCGATGAAAGCAAAAATAAGGATGGGGACGTGGAATGTGCGTACAATGTACGAAACTGGAAAGGCTGCCCAAGTAGCAGCAGAAATGAGGAGACACAGAATAGAAGTGTTGCGAATCTGCGAGAGCAGATGGAATGGGTGCGGTAGGTGCCAACTGCCAACTGGTCAGACAATAATCTATTCCGGCCACCCAGAGGACAATCACGTGCACATCGTGGGAGTGGCCATCATGACGTCACCGACAGCAGCCAAAGCCCTCATGCAGTGGGAACCAATCTCCTACAGGATAATGACAGCCAGGTTCAACTCAAAAGGAAGGAAAGTTACAGTCATTCAATGATATGCGCCTACAAATGTCTCAGAACAAGAGAAGAAAGAGGCGTTCTACAGACAACTACAAACAGTAGTGGACAACGTTCCAAATGACGATATCAAAATCCTGATGGGCGACATGAATGCGAAGCTGAGACGAGACAACACAGGAAGAGAACTCGCCATGGGTCGTGAGGCCCTCGGTGAAATGAACGACAATGGTGAACTCTTTTCAGACTTCTGCGCCTTCAATGATTTGGTGATTGGCGGTAGTGTGTTCAAACACAAGGATATACACAAGACGACATGGATTTCACCAGATGGAAACACCAAGAATCAAATAGACTTCATCTCAATTTCAAGAAAGTGGAGACGGAGCCTACTGGATACAAGGTCGAGGAGAGGAGCAGATGTGGGTTCAGACCACTATCTAGTACAAGGGACTTTCAAGGTGAAACTAAAAGCCTCGAGGATAGCTGGGGATATGTCACAATGCAAGTTCAACACTCAATTACTGAAGGACACAACCTCAAAAGACACCTTCACTGCAACTGTCAGAGCAAAGCAGAAAACACTACGTGACATCACTGGAGAATCATGCGTGGAAGAAAATTGGAAGTCTCTAAAGGCGATTCTCAACGAAACGTGTTCAACGGTTCTAGGAAGAAAGAAGAGATAAGACAAGGAATGGCTCTCAACGGACACTTGGAAATAAATAGAAGAGAGGAGAATGATGAAAGATAAAATGATTCAATGCAAAGACGGGCAAGAGAAAGAGACGCTGAGCTCAACTTACACAGCACTGGACAAAGAAGTGAAGAAGAGTGTTAGGAAAGACAAAAGACAATTCTTCGACAATCTGGCCATTGAAGCTGAGAAGGCAGCAGGCAAAAGGGATTTGAGGACACCATATCAGATAACCAAGTCTCTATCCGGGAAGAGATCGACACAAGCGAAATCTATAAAAGACAGCCAAGGGAGCCCAAACACCAAGGAAGAAAAACAGATTAAACAATGGGTGGATCACTTCAAGAGACTCTTGAACCGACCACCACCTGCAACCCGTCCAGAAATACCAGCAAGATTGCGCACTAAACTGCAAGTTGACACCAATCCTCCAACGAGAGCTGAAGTCTTGAACGCAATCAAGCTTCTGAAAGCTGGAAGAACAGCTGGACCAGATGGAATACCCCCTGAAGCACTCAAAGCGGACCCAGAGACGACAGCAGACATGCTGACTCCATTATTCCAAAAGGTCTGGAAGGAGGGAAAGGTGCCTACTGACTGGAGGAAAAGTTACCTCGTGAAACTACCAAGAAAAAGCGACTTGAGACTCTGCAAGAACTGGCGAGGAATCATGCTCCTGTCGACGCCAAGTAAAATCCTGAGTCGCATCATCCTGGAGAGAATTAAGGGCTCACTGGATGCAGAACTTTGACCAGAACAAGCCGGATTCAGGAAAGGCAAGTCATGTTCTGACAAAATTGCAACTCTACGCATCATCATCGAATATAGCATGGAATGGCATCAATCAAACCTATACCTCAACTTTATAGACTTCGAAAAAGCCTTCGACAGACAGCGTTGATCGTGAAGTAATTTGTAAATTACTCGAGTACTACGGCGTACCCCAAATATTCATCAACCTTATTCAACAGCTGTACGACAACGGCACATGTTAAGTGATCCACGACGGAAAACTCAGCGAGGCATCTAGAGTAAACACAGGAGTCAGACAAGGGTGCTTACTATCACCAATGATATTCCTAATTGTGGTGGGAAACGAGCAAACAGGGATAACCTGGACCGACGTGAAGAACCTAGAAGACCTGGATTTCACTCTTGGATGATTTATGTTTGATGTCACACAAAATCGAAGACTTACAAGCAAAAACAGACAAACTGGTCGAAGAAGCAGCTGGCGAAGACAGGACTCCATGTGAACATAGACAAGACGGAGGTCATGAAAATAACCAACCAAACAACAGCTACAGACACAACATCCATCGCCAATCACCATCAACGGGAGGGATTTAAAAGAGATTACTTCATTCACTTATCTAGGGAGCATTGTCTCAACTACAGGCAGTCGGAACGGACAAGGATGTCAAATCGAGCGAGAATCGGGAAGGCGAGAAACACATACATCAATCTGAAACCCACCTGGAAATCTTCGTCACTCAACTAACATCAACAACAAAATTCGGTCGGATTTTCACTACAAACGTCAAGTCAGTCAGTTCTTGTATACGGATCAGAAACTTGGCGGGCCACAAAGAATATTTCCAACAGCCTGTTGCTGACCTTTATCAACAACTGTCTTCGCTCTATACTGAAGATCAAATGGCAGGGCCGGAAAGAATCACCAACAAGGAACTATGGGAACAAACAAAACAAGAACCAATCATCAACCAACAAATATGCAGGAGAAAGTGGAGATGGATTGGAAACTCGTTGAGGAGACCGGTTGGCGAGATCGCGCGTCAGACCATCGCTCGAGTGGAACCCGAAAGGGAAGCGGCGAGTGGGACGTCAGAGCAAGGGTGACATGGAGGAGATCGTGTGAAGAGGAGTTGAAAGAGTATGGACTAACATGGATGCAGGTGAAAAGTACAGCAGAAGGAAGACAGAAGCAAGTGGAGACGTGCAGTTGAATCCCTGTGTTCTACTAGGAACCCAGGTGAATAATAATAATAATAAAGTGATGTTGACTGATTATCAATGATCTGTGGTATAAATAGGATTTCCAGAAACATTTGGTAATTTTGCAATTATGATTGTTTACCTTCCATCGAAACTTGTATTTCTTCGAGATAAACTGACAAGTGAGGTATATTTCACTCCTTAGCAGGAAGATGTTTATTGTTCTCACAGAAAATGTATATTTTCAAACACCCATTTAGTTTCCAGTTTCAGCTGATTTCATTGAGCTTCGAAAGTTAAGTGAAACTGAAGTCTTCAAATCTGTAAACTTCCCTCGGCATTAAGCGATGCAGTCATTCATTTGATTTTACAACATCTAATAGAACGACGTTGGTCAGCCTCATTTTACAACATAGGCTTTTTAAACCGATTCCTCGACCCTGTTGGAATTGATAAACCTAGGGAAACTTGTTGTTTGTTGACTAGCGATACAGAACAGGAAACACGTTTCCTCCTATTTCGAGACTGAAGTCACCTAGAACTACTTGCTCTTAGACAATTGATGTTGTCCCGTTTGAAACTTCTTGAGCTCACCACGTATTGCTCCCAACACCGTAGCATTAACCATTAGGCCACTTAGCTACATCTGCATTCTCTTGATGAAAGAGTGTGACCGGGTATACATTCGGATACTGTTGGAGACCACCATCAAACTAGTTACTTCTTTTACTTCAATTTAAGGAAATTGACTTTAGTCGTTCAATATTACTACTTTCAAAACAATAAATGTGAATATATGTTAAAAAAATTATTAGATGTTAAATATCATACACTATTAGAAAACATGTATCTTACCATCTGTAACAAAGGGACTGGATGATACGAAGCAAAAGAATACACTGCTGGTAAACAATAAACTGTTGAATTTTCTGAAGATAAAGGATACGCATTAATAATTAACGAATAAAATACACAGAATATTGTTGTTTAATGAATACTGAATTCATTTGAGTTAGTGCGTGAGCCAGTAGGAATGACATGGTGACCAGTTTAGATTTGAAGGCCATTTAGCATGGATGTCTTCTGTTCATAGCTGTTAGTTGCCCTTCTTTCTAAGGTATTGAGTTATACTTACTGGTGGGGGGGTGGGGCTGAAGGTAACTATGGTGTTATTTGTTTAAGTCGATTAGTATTCCATCCTGGTAGATTCCATTGGACCTAGGTAAACACGTCTGTCAACATATCATCTCCTAGTTCGGATGCTTCGAAAATGTTTAAGGATTAACTTAATGTTGTTTGTTTGATGGTTTATGGTAGATATTAAGATGGTTCATACTTTAATCGAGTCTGTTATTCAGAACATCACCACTTAATGAATATGCCAGTGTACTTTGCAAAGAAGTCTCAAATATAACTGGATGTGTTTCATGTTATCCATTGCCATGCATTAAAAATCAAATGACATCGTGTAAGTAGGGAGCATAATTTTGAGTAGTAATATATATATAGTCAAATACCAGGTAAACATTCTTCTGTCCAGTTATGGTGATTTCATTTTCCTTGTTTACTGATCAAAGGATATAAGTGGAATAACAATTGGAAATGGAATAATAGTAAGAAGTATATAAAGTACAAGACAGCTACTTCGTTCAAACATTGGACTGTTTAGCGGTGATTACTCATTACCTCACTAGAAATCGAACCTGAGGCCATCAGTAACCAAGATCAAGCACAGTGACCATTCAGCCAACTACTTGAGCCAACTACGCATATAAACCGGGCTTTGATTTCTGGCCGACTCACTTTTAGATCTTGGTAGACCTGTGGTAAGAACGATAAAGAGGAGAGGTTGGGAGTGAGGTTAGCAACTCCACCCCTTAGAATCGAAACCACTACTACTAATACTACTGAAACTTCAAAGTTCAAGCTTGAAACCCTACGTCCCACCTGAAACGCAAAGGAATAAAATAAATAAAGTATTAACTGTGAAACGGAGATCTTTTTATGGTAAAACTAAGAGATATTCAATTCGCATCAATAATAATTGGACTTTCTAGAGAAAGCATAATGGAATAGAGGTCCCCTGATTTCTCTCGTGTGGCCTTTTATGTCACTTTTTCAAACTAGTAGCTTCAAATATATATACATATATTAAAATTACATTCAAAAAGAAAGATTATGATGGATTTATCAGTTGATGAACAGAAAAACTAGTGTGGTGAGAGCTGTCTGCTAGCCAAAATTAGTAGACAGAAATTTACGTCAATGTTTACGTCCCAAATCTTGGTCATGAGAAAAAAACAAGAGCAAAGCCTAATCTTGAGGAACTTCACAACCAATCGCGGTAGACTTTGCATGGACGGATACGACTAGCAGATATATCAACGAACTGTCTATGAAACTACAACAAAGAGATGACAGAATAACCTTCAGCAGGTAAACAACCAAACAGAAGACGTTACCTCTGCATGTAGTGCTATAGCTGAACTATTCTCTAGATTTCTTATCTTATTTGGGTCAACCAAATGTTCGGCTAGTCTGACTGCACCTGTTCTACTACTCTGACCTATTTATTTGACCTGACAATCATTGCAGGCAGGGAATTAAATAAACTAAAAAGGCTCCACAGAATCCTTTAGCCGACAAAGCCAGTTTCTAACTGTGTTTGTGTATTTGAATGCTACTTTTATTCCTGCCCTTTTAAGAATTCTGCAGTTACACACAACTATGCAATAGGATGGATGGGATAAGATGACAGTTTTAAAATCTGATGTCACAGGGTGGAGTGAGAGATTGGTAACAGAAGCTGTGTTTATCGAATCAACTGCAAATACATGCAATAGGAAAGATTCAACACCTGTCCACCCAGATATCTGGAAAATTCTACTACCTCAACGAATGACAAATAGAAGAAAAAGAAAGCTGTAAAACTCAAGTTTCAAAGTCGTGTGATTATAATTGATGAAATGATTATGAACAATAAAGTTTGTTCGAAACGTAATCCAGTAAATAAAACTGTCTGTTCAGTGTGTGATATATCTAATAAACTAACTAATATGGAATTACTTACGACCACAGTGCCCAAGGTTTACACGTATGTCAATAATGTTGTTTTATAGAAAATTTTGCTTGTTTCGCGTTTTTCAGATCTTCAGTATTTATCTCGGCGGCCTGCTTGAACATAGGGCTACCAAAAATTCCACCTTACAACATTTTGCAAAATTGCTTTGGTTTGCTCTTTTAATTTTGTTTTAATTTATCAATAATGTGTCCTAATCGTATTATATATAATCGCGCATTTTTAAAATCATTACAACCTACCGCGTTGTGTCATCCACAAAAATTGAGAAAAAAGCATCACTGTGGCTGGCAGCGTGCACTGAAACGTACACAAATTAATCAAATGACTGTTCCTGAACTCGTTAGCACTAATTGTAGATCCCTGTCCAACAAAATGGATTACCTTCAATCCCTAATGTATTCCAATGTTTATCGAAATGCTGGCGTTTTAGCAATACAAGAGACTTGGCTGCACCAGCATTATGATGATAATCTAATTTCAATAAATGGATATAAAGTTTTTCGCCAAGATAGAAATAGTTCCAAGAAAAAATATGGAGGAGGGGTAGCCACATATATAAACACAAATTGGTCTACATCAAATCACGTTTGCTTCAATTATTCTAATGACAATATAGATTGCATAACCGTCAGGTGTCGCCCAAAACACTTAAGTAAATATTCTTATATATACATAACAAATATTTACATAACACCCAATTGTAGCCTTTCTAATATAGTTATGTTTGCAGATGAGTTTACTGAATTCGCTGCTCCTGCATTCGGAAACTCGTTGTCTATAGTCTGTGGTGATTTTAATTTATGTGATCACAGCTTTCTTACTTCGCTTGGTCATGAGAATCTAGTCAAGTTTAATACACGTCTGGACAAATCACTAGACCTGGTTTTCATAAATGACCGTGATGTATATGAAACCCGAAGGAGAGCTCCTTTGCTAAATTCTGACCACTGCATTATTCGTATTTTACCGAAAGTGTACGGCAAGTCACAACGAAAATTGTTTAGTCATTTAACAAAGAAGATACATGAACGTTCATATTCCCATGACAACATTCTAGCATTAAGAAGCATGTTGCATGATACCAACTGGGAACTGTTTACTGACGATAAGTTGGATGCTACTGTCTCTAATATAACCGATTATCTGAAGTTTTGTTTGGATATTTGCTGTCCTTATGAAACACTGTTTTCGAGATTTGACAGAATCTCTTCTTTGCAACTGAAAAAACTTAGAAGACAAAAAGAGAAGTTGTATAAGAATTGTGATAATACTGGTGTCCGTAAAATAAACACCCTTATAAAAATTGAAATAGAAAGGTTGAACAGACTATATAATGAAAAATTTTTATCATGTAAAAATCCTTCAAACATTTGGAAACTTTTCAATAAACTAACAAGTAAAAAACAAATGTCCGTTGATGCTTATTCTGATGTAAATGCTTTAAACAAATCATTTATCAAGAAACAAATTAATATGGTTGTACCTGATGTACCTAGTCAAGAAAATGGTCATTTTCAGGGTTTTGAAGAAAAGGATGTACTATTATGTTTGAAGTCATTAAATCCAACACACAGCCTTGGTCCAGATGGTGTACCAAGCATTCTTCTCCAAAAGTGTGCAGACATCTTGTGTCATCCTCTTACTCAAATCTTTAACGCATCATTTAAGAGGGAAACGGTACCTGCTGACTGGAAAGAAATCAAGGTTGTACCTGTACAGAAATCATCTTCTGGAGCAGGTATAAAATTTAGACCAGTCGCTATAACATCTCCTTTTTTGAAAACTATGGAGAAACTTCTTTTGAATATTCTTAAACCTTCTTTAAAAGCTTTTAGTGACCCTAAGCAGTTTGCTTATAAGTGTGGAAGAAGTACATTAGATGCAGCCATTGTACTACACCACAATATTGTTTCCTGCCTTGATAAGGGCGCTAAGTTCGTTCGAACAGCTTTCTTAGACTATACTGCAGCTTTCGACTCTGTTCCTAGGACACTTTTATTAGGAAAGATGATTTCAGCACAAACAGAGTCCTGGGCAACTAGATGGCTGTCTTCTTATTTTAAGGATAGGAAACAGCATACTGTTTTGGCTGGAAAGCGCTCCACTTCCCAGCTAACTGAAAGTGGTGTGCCTCAAGGTGCAGTACTTTCTCCATTTCTTTTCTCTTTCTTTCTGCATGACCTTCCGAACTCACCCAAAGTTAACTTCATTAAGTATGCTGATGACCTGACCGTTTCTGTCCCTGTAGTTTCCACATCGGATTGTTCCTATATGAATGGCTTCCTAGCTGAAGTTAAGGATTGGTCTGGCTCAAATGGTCTTAAACTAAATCCAACTAAATGTAACACTGTTGATTTTAGCTTGAGAAGTGAAAAAGACATGCATGGATTGATTCAATCTCATGATTGTTGTAATATTGATGGTACCATGATTGAGAGTAAGTCAAGTGTTTCTTATCTTGGCATTAGTTTCTCGTCAAATCTTTGCTGGTCGTCTCATATTCTTATAGTTTCTAAGAAAGTTTTCCGTCTGACTTATTACATAAAGAAGTTGAGACACTCAGGTATAACTCAATCTCTTATCATACAATTTATTAATTCATGTGTTTTGCCCATCATTCTTTATTGTTCTCCATTATTCTTCCCTGGGCTACTCAAGAAAGATCATATAATACTACGAAGAACATTGAGGGCTGTAAGTAGGGTCAGTGCTATCCCTTTGACTGAACTAAATGACACTGTTGTCAATAGGCATATGAATTCTTGTAAACACTTAGCTAAAGTTATCTTATCTGATAGTGAACATCCTCTTTATTCACAATTGTTTCCTTGTATCTCTTCGGGTAAGACCAGAAGAAATTTTATAAACATTTATGCTCGTACTACAAAATATAAAAATTCGACCGTTCCATATTTGGCACGAGTATTGTGTGAAGAGACAAATATCAGAAAAGAACTTTTACAACTTTTGAATCAGTAACTAAACTATAAAATGTAATGATGCATATTAATGCAAGTGTTATTTGTTATATTATTTATTTATTATTCACTATGACCTAGAAATGGTATGATTTTGTTGGGTTTTTTATTTTTATTTATTTTTTATTATTTTTTCCTATTAACTATCAATATTTTAACATTTTATATATTTATATAATTATAAACAGAGCTAAACCATTGCAATATGTAAAAGAAACGCTGAAAATTCCATGCTGTAAATTTTTATTGTTGTGGAATAAAGTGATTATTATTATTATTATTATTATTATCTGTATGTATGATTGGTCGACAAAAACCTGAGTTAATTTGAACAAGCTACTTATCCTTGCATAGAATTCGTGATATAATCCTACGTGTCACAAACAGTGAACAGTGCATTTATTATTC